AGTGAGGATCCAGTTGCCCTCTTGGATCACAACTGCCACCATCTACTCCCAGGGACAAGGAGGCACAGAAAGCCATGGTGGTTGGGTCTAGTACTGGGTCTACTGGCCATGGTGGTTGGGTCTAGTAAGAACTGGAACCTAGGAACACCTGGAGGGCCAGAGGTTCTCTGTCGCTGTTTTGAATGGAGAAGGTCCCAGGTTCAGCCCCTGAAATCAAGTAGCAGCTGGTGGGAAAAGAGCATCTGCCTTTGACTCTGATGCCAGAGAGAACAATACTGGACCAGATGGAGAAATGGCCTGACCTCTGTTACCATGTCCTCATCCATGACATTTGCAAACAGAAATGTACACAGTAAGCATGGGAAAGACGTCCAGATGTTGTTGCATCAAACCTGCACTAAGACACTGTCTAGATTACGTCAATGGAAAGAGTCATATGAGATGGAAACTAAGCCACTTGGAGATGCTCCACAGCTCAGTGGCCCTCCAGATACAACTCCCATTATCCCCAGCCATTGACCATGCTGGCTGGGAGCTGCCATATCTGGAGGGCTACAGGCTACCCATACCTGCTGTAACAGGCAGTGTTAGCACCTTGAGAACACAACTGGCTTCTTCATATGACCAAAAATAAATAAATGTGTTGTTAGCCCTTGTGAGTGTGAAACCTCAACTTACACTGAAGTCCAGGGATGGGAAACAAGGAGGAAGCTTTAGAACACATATACAAAGTGTATCTAAATATGTTCAATCTCTATGACCAATAACACACCCTTTAACAGTACCACCTGCATGTAGATAGCAAGAGTAACTCCCAGGCGCCCCAGCCAGCACAGTCAACAGGCAAGTTGTAGCTCAGCAACATCTGGAGGGCAGAAAACTTGCTATCCCTGATGTAGGCACTTGCCCCTACTTAGAGAAGGAAGGCGTACTACTGAAAATCCAGACACCATGGCTTCAAAATCAAACCAACTCTCTTATCACAGCTCTCCGTCCTTCCCACTTTGCTTAACATCCAGCATGATAAAGAGTTTTGCTGGACTCAAAGAGCTTGTGCGCTTTTTGTGACATTTTGGTTAGTCACAATAAAGGGACTTGCTCCACTACAGTCAGTTCCATCTTAGAAGTCTTGAAGACTAGAAACTTAATTTTTTCCCCAGAAAAAAGAAACAAGACTCTCAAGAGGCTGAATCACTATGCTTTCGCTGGGGGGGGGGGGGTGTTTTGCAATCAAGGAATGTAAGCAATGAATATCAATACTGCACTTTCAGATATTGCCGCTGCACCTGTTTAATGACCTCTCTCTTTAGAAAGGAAGCTGCATTTATTCAAAAGCAAACTGCATATTTGAAATAACTGTAGTTTTGTGCAAACAAGCAACAATTTCCACACTGGTTAGGAAGAATCCCTCAGTCCACACACTATTTGCCAAGGATAATAGGATGTACAGCTTGAAATGTGCTTCAGCATGTCTTGTTTGCTTGTGAATGTTTGCACCATAACTCAATATTCTGCTCCAAACTGTTGAAATCTTTACAAATGATGAACTCACACAGCTAAACTATAAAATACAAAGTTGAAGAAAAACCAAAACGTCTGCCACCTGGGATCAAACAGCGTGACATCGTGTTTACCTGTCCTGACTTTTTTCCGTTTAAAATAAGAAGCAGCCTCTGAAGGCTGCAATCTCAAACAAAGAAATGAGGGAGGAGGTGGAAGAGCCTCTCAAACCATTTTTCTAATCAAATATTGCTCTCCCATGTCCTTCTTCTCTCCAAAGGGAAAACATGAAAGGATTGTGTACTTTTCCCATCAGGAGAAATGGCCCAAAGAGAAAGAGTGAATCGCCTCCTTCCCATCCACCAGACCTGTGACCATTTTCATTTGAGAAAAAGGCTGAGCAAAATTACGAACTCTTGAGCACGATGTGTATTGTAGTTTGAAGCATTAAACAAGCCTCATCTATGGAGAGTAGCTGTATCACGAGTCTGAAGAATTAGGAGGCAGAATTTCTGCTCAGTAGGTTTATTTACAGGCTTGATGCATTTCTAAGGTCTGCAATCTCTCACACAAGTCAAATATATATGCTTTAAAACAAAATAATTAAAAAGGGAATGAGTCTGTGAACTCCAGCATCTCTTTTGAAATAATCACATGAATGCAGGCACCAATCTTTCAGTCTACATGCTGCTTCCGTGTTGCTCCCACAGCACCACAAAAATGTTGCTATCCCAGGAAATCATTTGGGCAGCTTATGCAACTAGAACAGCCTTAGTGGCAAAGCGGTTCTCTGACCCGCTCCACATGGGGCAATTTACCACACAACCCACATCTGGCACCTAACACTGTGTTCTGTTCAGCATCAAGCCCAAGCATTTTAGAATATGCTGCATTTAGATAGTTAGATGGTTTCATTATTCTCAATCTTATTGCGTTGCTGGGACGTTTACCTTAAATTTCTGTGTCGACAACCCCAAAAGATATACTTTGAGTAAAGGACTGGCTTATACCTGTTGTTTTTATTAAAACCCCTAAGATGTCACTGCATCTGATGTGAGGCAGCCTCACCTTGCCCGTCTATCCGATGCACCTTGACCACCACCTCCGTCCGGCCTCCCCTCTCCAGCTGCCGGACGAGGGACAGTCGGCCGGAGCCCCTGTCCAGCTCCACCGGGAAAGCCCCCGCCGCGGCCGGAGAGACCATCTCGAACCAGCTGCCGCCCGCCTCCTGGTAGCGGGTGTCCGGGACGGTGAAGATGAGCTCCCCCGCAGGCGCCCCGACCGGGACGCGGACTTTGTAGCTGGGGCTGGAGGAGGCGGCCAGGGCGCGGGCCTTGCGCGGCGACGGAGCAGCGCCTTGGACGGCGGCCGTCGCCGTCCTCTTCCTCACGGCCAGCTCCAGGCGCCTGGCGGGGCTGCGCAAGGGCCGGGGCAGCCCGTGGTCCTGGGCCGAGACCCAGAGGCTGAGGCGGCGCAGGCCGAGCAGGGAGCCCACGGTGAGCACCTGCCCGCTGCGCGGCACCACGAAGAGGCGGCGGCCCGGCTCGGAAGAGGCGCCGGGCCACGAGCGGTAGGTGAGGCGCGCGTTGGCGCCTTCGTCGGCGTCCAGGGCGCGCAGGCGCGCCACCTCGGAGCCCAGCGGCGCCAGCTCGTCCACCTCGAGGGGCGGCGCGGGGCCCGGCGGGAAGCGAGGCCGGTGGTCGTTGCGGTCCAGCACCCGCAGCCGGAGCAGCAGCGCCGCCCTCGAGGGGCCCCTCAGCCACAGGCTGTAGCGCGGGCGCGCCTCCCGGTCCAGGCGCTCGGCCGTGCGCAAAAGCAGCAGCAGCGCCGGCCGCCGACGGGGAGCCCCGGGCGGGAGCAGCTGCAGGGCGAAGTGCGAGGCGCCGTCGCCCTCCAGGGCCCAGGCGGCTCCCGGCGTCGGCGCCCGCAGCAGCAGCCTCCGCAGCGGCACCCGCAGCCCTTGCACCCGCGTCCCCGGAGGGCTGTTCTCGGGCACCTGCCCATAGAAGCAGAGCGCGCGCGGCGAGGCGGGCCAGCGGCACGGGGAGCCGCCCGAGCCGGCCGCCAGCCAGAGGAAGAGGAGCCATCGGCGGGCCCCGGCCGGCGAGTCCCTCATTCTCCCCCTCGGTGCGGCGCCCAGCGATTCCCGGAGACGGGGCAAGTTCTCCAGCAGCCCGAGACTGCGCGCCCAGCACCGCCGACTCCACGTGGAGGGACGGGCGGGACGGGCGCTCCGCCCTCTGCGCAAGAGCGGCCAATCGGGCGAGAGGAGGCGGAGTGCGTTTGCCTAGAAACTTGTACCGTGTGGGTCGATGGTGTGGAAAAAACGGCCCGCTCTTTGCAGATTCTGTGCGTAAGATCACTCTCGCAGAAGCGATGACCAGTGGTTTTGGGGGTGTGATGCCGCCCGCAAGGCAGGAGGAAGAGTCAGGGCAGACTTGAGACAGGGGAAGGAGCGCCAGATGTCGCAGGAGAAAGTTCAGCCAAGAGACGGGTCCGTAGGCCACCTTCCCCCGCCTCGCTGTCTGCTAGCTAGAACCAAGAGGGGCTTGAACATAGCTGTCAACCTTCCCTTTTTCTTTGCGGGAAATTCCCTTATTCCAGCGCTGTTTCCCGCTGCTATCCCGGATTGTTAGATATCCCGTAGACGGTCCCCGGGACAGATGAGGCTGCTGATCCGTTATTTTCGAGGCTGCTGATCCCTTATTTTCAAATCTGAAAGTTGACAGCTATGGGCTTGAAGCGAAAAGCACAGCAGCACCTTCAATGCAGAAGTCTCAGGTTATGGCTCAGGTTGCAGCAACTGCTCCCTAGGGCCCAGACCATGTACAGTACCTTCCTGGAAAGGAGAGTCAATCACCTTTCATGGGAGTCCATTCCACTGTCAAACAGCTCGTATTTTCAGAAAGTTCTTCCTGATGTTTAGTCGGAATCTCCTTTCTTGTTGTTTCCAGTCCTACCCTCTGGAGCAGAGAAAACATGCTTCCTCCATGTGACAGCCCTTTAGATACTTGAAGAAGACTGTCATATCTTCTCTCAGTATCCTCTTTTCCAGGCTAAGCATACCCAGTTCCCTCAACTATTCCCTCTAAGGCTTGATTTCCAGACCCTTGATAATCTTGGTTGCCCTCCTCTGCACACATTCTAGCTAGTCAATATCCTACTTAAATTGTGGTGCCCAGAACTGGACACAGTACTCCAGGTGTGGTCTGACCAAGGCAGAATAGAGTGGTACTATTACTTCCCTTGATTAGGACACTTTACTTCAGTAGATGCAGTCTAGAATAGCAGCAGCTTTTTTTGCTGCTGCATCACACTGTTGTTAAGCTTGTGGTCTACTAAGACCCCTAGGTCCTTTTCCCGTATACTACTGGCAATCCAGGTGTCCCCCATCTTATATTTGTGCAGCTAGTTCTTCTTGCCTAAGTGTAGAACCTGACATTTGTCCCTACTGAAATTCAACTGTGGATTTTAGACATAAAAAGAATCAACAAAATGTGCAGAGGTTAGAGTTTGTTTCTTTAATAAAAAAAAGGTTTACAAGGCACATGTTCCAACTGGACTGCAACATCGACAGCAAGAGGTTTGAATGCTTTTTTTTTTTTTTTAGGACTAGTTATTTCTCCATTTATTAGAACCATAACAGGTTATGCCCGAAAAACACTTAATTAGAGTGATGCTTACAAGCTTTCCAAATACCGCCTTCAAAGTCCTCAGGGAATGTTAGGAAAATGCTGCATTTTGCACAACTAATAAAAATAAAAAGACCTCATCTACCTCCCACTTCTGGCTATTCAACAGCTAGTCCAATAACCAACATTAGATTTGCAGTTTTAATTTTTTTGCTACTTTTTTCTCTATGGGGGAAAAAACACTATCACGGTTTGTGAAGTTTTTATCTAACCAGAGGCCATGAGAGCCACCACCTCCTCCTTCCACAGCTGCAAATCTGATTTCAAAAGGTCCCACAACTCACAGAGAAAGCTTACAAAACAGAGCAATCCTACTGCACATTTGCAATAGGGAGAATAGCAGCTGTCCTCATCCATTGTCCCAAGATTTTGCCATGGACAGGGCAAGGGGTAGCTTTTTTCTTCTACCTTCCCAGTGGCTACTGTGGGGAGGAATACATGCTTGTTCCCACCATGTCCTGTTTCCCTCTTCTCTACAGGCATGCAGGGGACTTCCAGGTGGAATACCTCCATCTCTATTAGCAGAGCAGCACTTTCCACCCCTTGTTGCTGTAATAAGTTTCTGGAAACTTAAGAGCTATCGGATTTCATTTCTCTTCAAGCATGAGGAGTGGGATATAGGTAAGCAACATCACTACTTAAAAATCAGGGGTAAGGGCTTATGCGCTGTATGCTCAGAACATATAAAACAAAATTTCAGGCTGGAAAACAAGCTCATCTTCAACTGTGTGGACAAGCTTAAAGTTACTCAGCACTGGAGTAAATATTCAAAAGGAGCCCATTTCAGAAGCGGAGATATAACTGCATTTTGAGCAAGACTGTTAGGGCTGAAGTAATTCAGCCAGCGCAGAAGTGCAATAGTTAGGAGTGGAATTCATGAACATTAGAGACTACCATAGAGGTTGCTGGTTTACCTCCATTAATGATATTATATTAGAGCTGGCCAGACATATTGATGTTACTGCATGACCTGCATCTATTTCCATGGAAGCCTCATAGAATTCAAAGGTGATTACACCACGGCAGTGCCTGGTGAAGGGAGGTGGAGTATTTGATGCCGGAAACATGTCAAAATGGGCAGCCCTTCAATCAGTACAAAAAAGTATTGAAACGTAAATTCCCTTGCAGTAAATTCAAGGTAAGTGCATCTGATGCAATTTATTGCAGCATCAGAATTTTTTTTCAATGCAGAGGCATAATTGCATTTGTAAAGGAACACAGAGAATGACTGCGGCAAACAAAACCTCACGGATACAGACATTGTCGAAGTGAATGCATCTCAAGGCTAATGTCATAAGGCATTTTACATCCAATCATTCAGCAGTACAATATATACCCTCTCAGAAATCATAACACCAATATGATTTTAAGTTCTATGAGCTGGAGTTCTTCATAATGAATTCCTCTTCAAAATATTACTACCAAGTTGTTTGACCTGCATAAAATAGGCAGCAATGAGTACCACACATAACGTGTGTAATAAAATATACACATACTAAATCTGCTTTGCCTGGTTGTTCTCATGTTTGTGTACCTTGAATGAAAATGCCAGCATCTGGAATTTCAGTTCTAGTCAGTGGATAGAAGGCTTTCCGTGAAGCACAGAAGGAATGCTCTCACAGCTTACACTTTAAAAAAACAAAACTCTTCAGGATTGTTGTTTTTGAAAGACCATAAATATCAAACTCAGAGGGATGGGGGGGGGGACACACACAGAAAAGTAAAGGAAATTACCAAGAACAACAGCATAAATATGTGGAGAGAAATTGCTAAGGTCCCATTTAAATTTTTAAAAACAACTCGACCCAAAATACAATCTGCTGTTGCCAGCTTGGTCTTCAGTGTGTGGTTTTTAAAATCCAATTCGAGAAATAACTTTTAACAAGGCTATAAAACCAGATCAAAGTGATTAACCCCATCCATCATATTTAAGCGGATGCACAGTTCTGCAAAGTGGCTGAAATCTGCAAAATGGTTAAGTCAAACCTCTCCAAGCCCTTTCCTGTTTAGGGACTAAATTGTATATTTGAAACAATTAGAAGGTCTCCATCATAATATTGGATGTATATTCCTAAAACACATCTACACATTTCAAAGAAAATTGTACATATTAAGAGTAAACTCTTATTTGGGACACTGATTTCTTTTTTAAAGACATGTAGTCCACTGTGTGCTACCTTCTTAGGATATAGTCTTTCACCAAACGTAGGGTAAAATTGTGCCCCATTGAAGATCAATGACAGATCTGCCAGAAAGCAGATCATAGCTAGCAACCATGATTAACAAGAATCAATCTCAGCCAAGCAATACCCTGTATACAACTCATACCCCACCCAACCCGAATAATTTCCAGCAATCTCCAAACCCTCCTGCTCCACTTCCATTCATTAAAAAATATGGTGGGAACCTGCAGCTCCAGAAAGGACTGAATATCCTCCCACAACCCCAGATAAATATGCATAGCTTCAGGATCATGCCCAGAAGGTTTACACATTCCTTTTTTATATTTAACCAAGTAAATAAAACTACTTAAAGGCAGCAGTTGCTATAAACAATAAAAAATAAAATCAATGCACATTAAAATAAGGTTAAAACTGGAAAAGCTGGGAAGAGGTATTTTAAAACATGGAAGACAGTCCATATTCTACTCGCATGGCCTTGCAGCATCTCTCTCTTTCGCTGTTCTGTAGTCTGTCCGCAGTATTCCAGTCAGGTACCGTTTTGCATGTTCTCAAGGATGTGTGTGTGTGTGTGTTTATACTGTATATGGGATATAAAAAAGTACGTTCGTAAATGACCTCTTCCCATTTAGGAATTCTGCCAACTCAAGTCAGTCTTCAAAATGGTATCTCAGGACTGGAAGGATATCACAGTGTTGATTTTATATACGTAATAGGACCTGTTCCAGTATACTCGAGTGAAGTAGTTCACGTACGGAGAATAGTTCATTTTGATCTCCTGGCAAAACCGTCCATATTTAGAGTAGCCATAGCTGTCGTTTTCTTCATAATACACCTGGGAAGAAACAAGGAAAATGTGTATTTTAACTCAATGCACACAAAGGACTGACATTAACTGATTTTTAATTTCACGATCTGAGAAACTGTGAACAAACCTAGTTTAGCTGTGCTGGAGAAAGAGAGAGGGGAACATTTCATTTGTAGAGCAACAATTCTTTCTAAAAGTATATTGTAGAATGTAGGAGCCACTCGTTAACAGCACGGAATCTATTATCCCATATGAGAAAATTCAATGCAGGCTACCTGTGTCATGTATGACCTAGTTCCTGCATTGTAGGGAGACTGGACTAGATGACCCTTCCAACTCAATTATTCTATGATGAATAATATTCAAATAATCATATTCTGCCTGAGGTGATTATTAGCACTGAATGAAGTTACCCAGTCCTGCAGTAGCAACAAGTGAAATATATTTTATCATTAATCTGGATAAGGAAGAAATGGACATTTAAAAAAACCTCAGACTCAGTCTAACATATAAAGAAAAAAGATTTGAGTTCATTGGCATGAGATTGGATCCATTTGTGTGGCTTTGGAGACATAATCGGTATCTAATTGATAAAGCCTGAAAGACAGAAAAAAAGATGTCCAAAACAGAAATAGAAGTTTGTGCACACCAATTCCTCACAAATTATTGAGTGACACTGAACCACAATGACCCAGTCAATGTGGTGCTTGACCACTGCCTTTGAGGCCCTTGTACTTAGTGAATGCTGTTGTGATGGTCAAATAGCTACTCCATACCTACAGAAAAAGAGTCATGACAGATCAGACCAAAGATCCATCAGATTTCTGGAAAGCCTATAAGTAGGACATGAAGCCAATAGCTCTGCTTTGTTGAACTAGCCAATCCCTGTGGCTATTAGATGTTGATAAACCCATCTTCCCTGAATTTGTCTAATTCCCTTCTAAAGCAACCTACACCAGTGGCCAACAACACATTTTGTGGCAGGAAACTCTAGGTGTATAAACATGGTTTGAGGGTGTAATGAGTGAAGTCAGAAAGAAATGAAATACATAAAAGTACAGGTTGTTATAATTACATTCTTAACAGTGGCCATTAAAATAAAAGTAGTTGTGTTGAAGATAACAGACACTCTGGCATGGGTAATCCAATTAACCCACAAAGTGTGACATAAATCCATTGTGCCAATTTAGTCCCCAAGTAATAGCACTGAATGAATTTTAACTCTGCAATTTCACATTGCAGTCTCCCTCTGACGTTTCATTTTCCTAACACTTAACACGTCTGATGAAGTGTACAGCAATTCATGAAATCTTTTCCATTATGAACTGGTTAGTCTTTAGCTCGTGTTTTTGCTGCAAGAGACTAACAGAGTTACCCCTATGGAAATTAGGCACTTGTGTAAGTGAAGAAACAGGCTGAAATCCTATAGACACATTTGTAAGTGAGTAGTACTGAATACAGTGGGACTTCCTTCTAACAAGCAAGCAAAAGCTGTCAGCAAACTTTTTCAGCAGCGGGCCAGTCCACTGTCCCTCAGACCTTGTGGGGGGCTGGACTATATTTGGGAGGAGGTGATGAACAAATTCCTATGCCCCACAAATAACCCAGAGATGCATTTTAAATACAGTGGTACCTTGGGTTACATACGCTTCAGGTTACAGACTCCGCTAACCCTGAAATATTACCTTGGGTTAAGAACTTTGCTACAGGATGAGAACAGAAATCGTGCTCTGGCGGCGCAGCAGCAGCGGGAGGCCCCATTAGCTAAAGTGGTGCTTCAGGTTAAGAACAGTTTCAGGTTAAGAACGGACCTCCTGAATGAATTAAGTACTTAACCCGGCGTACCACTGTAAAAGGACATATTCTACTTATGTAAAAACACGCTGATTTCCGGACCATCCATGGGCCAAATTTAGAAAGCAATTGGGACGGATCCAGCACCCAGGCCTTAGTTTGCCTACCCATGGCTTAAACTGAATGTAGTATAAAGCCCTCCAGGAAACTTTATACCTTCTAAAAGGAAACTTGCAAAAGAATTTTGACAGAAGCTCAAGGTGCTACTTACATGGCCGTTGGCAATATCCAGTAAGTCTTTGACCCGGCATCCCCTCACAGGCCCCACCTCATTGCAAATGGAATCCTCTATAACCAAATAGGTGGCTTTGTATGACGTGAGTATCTTATAAATCTCTTCAGCTGATCTTTTGGAATAGATCTGAAAAATCTGTAGGATTCAAATGTGCAATCGAAATTTAATAACCTTATTCATTAATTATTGGGGGGGATACAATTCTAATGCAAGAATTTTAAACAAGGCCTTTCATCGTGTCAAACAAAAGCAGTCACCCTCAAGAATCCTTCTCTATAGGGGTGAAACGGCTGATCAACTTCCACATTGGAACTAGAGGCAAAAAAACATAGACTGAACTCCACAGAGATATTTGGGTCAGAGCCACTAAGGCCAGTAAACAAAGGGTGCAATCGAGTGTAAATTAGGCACATGGTAAAAATCAGTGAGTTTTACTCCTGAATCCTACACAGACTTACGCCAGACCCCATTGCGTTAAATGGTTTTTATTTCCACTTGGAAGAATCATCAGCAACAATAACAATACAGTGTGGAGTTTAAATTTCTGTTGATTTCAGTGAACTTAACTTTCTAAGCTTGCATTCAAAATACATGAGCAAGTTTCAGCTTCCATTTCCTACCTGTGGAATGGGAACAACAGCAACATTATCCCCGGCTAAAGATTTCAAAGTACACTACAAAACGTGAGAAGCCCTTTAAAAATGATACAAAGCAAAGATGACTCACATTCTCATTCCTCTTTTGCAGGTCCTCCTCATTATACAGGGGCAGATTGGTCACCATCCAGCCAGTGCACAACTTGACCGTGCCCATCAGCTGCGGACTGCCGGCAAACACAGCAGCGATAGGAGCCTGTCTTCTGCGGGGGGGGGGAGAAACCATGTCCTCACTTAAGTAATTCTATAAAATTATATAGTACAGCCTGAAAATGCTCTTGGGACCTGGCTGTGCTTCCACATAGCGGCCAGGCCAGGGGTGCTCTTGCACAGCTTAAGACTGCAGTGCTCACGGCGCCTGTTCCTAGAGAGGGTGTATTGGGCCACAGTCACCACCCTTTAGTTCCATGAGGATTGGAGTATGATGTGTGGCTGCCTCTGAAAAGTATTTGGAAACTTCAGCTGGTGCAAAATGCAGCAGTGAAGGCAAGGCCAGTCTAAGACATCTAGCTGTCTGAGGCAAAAGATAGATGGTGCTTCAACACATCACACCACTCCAGGCTGCGCAATAGAGGAATCGACAAGAACGGGGTCCTGCACAGCTGTAATGCTGCCAATAGCAAAACATGCAATCTAGATGAGTTAAAACACACACATTCAATTCACCAAGGTTTCTTCAACCGGGCAACAGTCCCGAGTGCTAACCCAAAAAGGTGAGTGGCAAGGCCACATGGAGCTTGGCTAGAGGCATGTGTGAGGGAAACAACTGCTGCACTGACTGCAGCTTAGGTTACAAAAAATATCCTGCGCTAAGAAGGAACACCAAAAAGTACGCAAAATGGGATGTCTTACTTGATCCAGGTCATGAGTCCAACTGTGTCAGGGTCATAAAACTCCTGCAGTTCTGAAAGTTCTGCCATTATCCTAGGAAAAAACTAAAAGGAAGCACCAAGGCTATGAACTGTGGGAAAACAAATTACAGAACTTTAAATAATGCAGGGGATCAGACTAAAAACCATCTTTCTAGCTTTACTATCAAATCGCAGCAGCATCAATGCTCAAGAGCCCTTTGCTACACTATTAGGCTAGCTTCCATCAGAGTGGACAGAATCCATTTTATTCTTCATAATGCATTAGTAAAAGAAAAAAGGAATCCCTTTGACTCAAATACTCCCAACAAAATTATCCACAATTTATTAATAAAATTTTTTGTTAATATAAAGTGTTCGTTTTCCTCATCACCAGGCTAGATTCATTTTTATTTCTATTTATTTACTTTAGCAAACCAACCAGGCCTGCATTTGAGACTCACAGTGCTACCTAGTGGCCATACACTTTTGCTGCTGCCATTTTAGCTGTGGATTTCTGGCCAAGGAGATATGTCGGAAAAGCCTCTCTCAAAATACAGCAATATATGGAGAATTTGGAGAACTGCACGAGCATGAAAATGAACTACCTGCTCACCCTTGTCGAGTCCCCTTCAACCAATACTCCAACTGGATAATGCTGACTGCTGTTAGTAATAATGGGAGTGTCATATTATCTTACCTCTTTCCACAAGCTGAAGCCAATGATAGCTGGGACTGCCATACTCAGGATAAGAGCCTGAAATATCAATCAGACACACCATAAAAGATTATGATTTGCTCTTTTAAGTCCTCAACCACGCAAGTGCAGATACCTTCTTATCACTACAGTTCACTCGTTGGGACTGCAGTAATATACACACATTTGAATGGAGGGAAGTCCCCTTGGATTCAATGGGACTTACCTTGAGTAGGCGTGTACAGGATTGCACTCAAGAGTTCTAAATACTACAGTGGTACCTCGGTCTATGAACAGCCCTGTTAACAAACTATTCGGTGAGCGCGCCTCGGTTTAAGAATGCTTTGGTGTAAGAACGGACTTCCAGAATGAATTAAGTTCGTAAACCGAGGTACCACTGTACTGTCGGTTAATTAGCTTAACAAAGCAATCCTATACTTACATTATGACAGGACCAGAGATAATTGTGATGGAACAGGCACTGTATCCAGTGCGCAGGGTTCCTGATCGTTGGGGATGACTGAAAGCAGATTCAGCTGCACATGCTTACCATTCCCTTTCAGGTTTTCTCCCCCATGCAGTGGGGAAAAGTTGCGGGTGGAGCTGGCATGCACACAGCTCCTCCACGGATACAATTACCTAGAACTAGGAACTCACCAGCAAAATAGGGTGCACAGCCTTCAGTCGGAGCCACTTGAATAGAGTCATCCAGAGCTCCGGAGAGCATACGCCAAATGCAGCAATCATGCAAACATAGGGAGTCCACACGTACTTCATTCTAGAAAACCACCACACAAAGAGATGAGTTCCTACATATATTGTTCAAGGGAGATTGCAACAGCATCCAATCCCACTACCATCTCCGAGTGCCTCCGCGAAAAGCTTTGTAAACATCAAGAAGACACCATCAAAGACTGCAAAGAAACCTACAGCAATTTCTCTGCGTCCTCCAACAAACTACTTCTGTGTGGGCTTTCTTTAGACTCAAACCCATTTCTAAGCCTGTTTGAGGCATCCAAAATAGACATTTGAAGCTGCTTTCATAGAACAGCACTTCCAGAGGGTGCAGGAGTACATAATGGTCCTCGCAGACCCATAAGAATCCTATTCAATCATGCAATGCGAAGCTGTCCGAGGGGTCTTCTTGCCTCTATTTCCTAAGGTGCAGATAGCCCTATTCTGCAGTTAAAATCTGATTCTGCAACTGAAGCCCATTTTGATCCAAGCACATATATTTGTCTGAAAGAGTTCCTCCATCCACATCCAGAAAGAAACGAAAGCAAGTTAAGAGAAATTCCTTGCCACTTCCAGGGAAAAACAAACCTAGACAAACTCACCCTTCCATCATCATTGCAAGCAATCCCAGCGAAAGTGTGTGAAGTACATGGTACACCACCTCTGGCCTTTCTCCAATCCTCCCGCCCTCAAGCTTCGCTGTGTCATTGACTGGTTCACCACTGCAGCTTGTGGAAGACAAAGAAAAACTATAGAGTCCATTGACAACTAAGCAGTCCACATCAAGCCCCAAGATGGGGCTCTTCCTTCTGCTCATCTGTCAGAAGTAAGCTTGCATTAAATCACACCATGCAAGTTGAAGTTAACTTTTTTTTTTTAGCAAGAACACGATCTGCAAAGATTTGGCAGAGCATCAGACCTAATGAGCACAGCAGCCCACAACTGTTAAGTCTTGCCCCATGGATCAGATGCTGAGACTGAAAGTCCCTCCTCTCCAGGGTTTTCCCCAAGCAATCAATCAGACACTGTGCCTGCATGAAGCCAACTTCTCCTCTGCCCTTTTCATACTTCTTCTGGTTCTGGGAGACTGGGGGGGGAGCTTATCACAGCAGGAGGGGAGACACCTGTGACTCTTCACCAGCCAGTCAGGCTGCCAGAAAAGCCCCTCCATCTTTCATCCGACGTAAGCGGAACCAGGCACAGTGCTTGCAGTAATTAACTTTTCTGCTCAGTAACCAAGGAGTCAGCATACAGCACACTCATCAGATAAGCACGTCAGCTGCAGAAGCTAAAGTTCTGTCCTCTCTCCCCCTTATTTATACCTCCCTTCTCCTTACATTTTTTCGCTGCGACTCAACTTTTCTTAATTGTTGTAGCCTTTTCTCAACCCTTAATTCCTGCACTGAGAGTTGGAGAAGGGTAGGAGCTGAACCAGGACTGTATTGCAGAGAAGACACAGTCCCTGCTCCTTCTCTATCCATGTCTGTGGCTACCTCAAGCCTCTCCCCTTCACTCTCATTCTCTGCTGCTGATTTCTCCCTGTCCCACAAGTCTGAAACCTGGTTCAAAGTCCCCTTCCACCTCAGGGGCCTCCTGGTCTACTGGCTTATACCACTCTTCCTCGTCCAGCCAATCCCTGACCCAGCCTGACTCATCTTTGCCTCTTGGCAAAGCTTCTGCCTCTTATTCTGGACTTCTCTCTACCACAGACTCTCCCTGCTCACTAAGCCCTGTTACCTCTTCAGCTTCTGACACCTTCTCTTCCCAGTCTCCTCTTTCTTCTCTGACCGCTCATTGTTGCCCCACCACCCCTCTCTGGGCTCTGAGCCTTCTTTCCCTTGGGGGTTCCCCAAGTGATTCCTCCCACCATTCTTCCAACCAGTCCATGATATCAACTTAGAGCCTTACGATAACCCAAGAACAGACCTCTTAAGTTCCCCCTCCTCTTGGAATATTCCCCCCAGCCCCACCACCAACCCTTTTTGCAGCAGTATCTGTATTCAGCACAGCCACTGCTTGTCCAAAACCAGCTACAATTAAAACATTAAACATATCCAATCTGACAATTTCAATCTTTTTCAGCTCAGTCTTTGAGCAGATTCACACAGCCTCCAATTCTGAAGCACTCTAGGCATGATGGTGTGGCACTGAACTAATGTCACCACCGTAATGTCACCATCCTTAGCCAACCTGATGTCCTCCAGCACATGCCGGCTGGGGCTGATGGGAGTTGTAGTCAAAAACCTCAGAGGGCACCAGGGTTACCTAAGGGTGGTATATATTTTATTTCGTGTGCAGCACATACTTGCCTACAATCACACCTCTACATGCAACAGCTCAGGATTTATACTACTATTCTGCATAATTTTTTCACATGTAAATACAGAATGCATTTCTGTATGCAGAATTCAATTCAATTCAATTCAAAATCCTTTATTAGGCATAGCACACCACACATTATCAAACAAACATCATATACAGACTGTATAAAAGACAGGCTCAGCGAACACAATTTATCCCAGTCCTATTCTTAACTCCAAGAAATAAATCTATGTACATAGATAATATAATACAGCACAGCAACATCACCTAATGCAGAATTCACCTAATGCAGAATTCAAATGCAAACAGATATGCATGCATCATATATTATGTTACATGCAAAGGAAGGGAAAGTTATATGTACTACCTCAAAAACAGTGTTTTCCAGCTTGGAAGTTCTTGTTCTGCAGCTGGTGTTTGCTGTTGAAGGTACCTCCATTACATGCAGCAACTAACACATAAGGTCATAAACAAGCTACGGACCATGCGGTTGAGAACAGAGAGAAGTTACCTTACCTAATTCTCCTGAAGGTGGCCTGGCCAACAGACACGAGGCAAATGATTAGCACTAAAATGTAGAAAGGCAATAGTGAGGACTGAGTGAGTCGCAGAAAGAAGTCTTGGGATGGTGCCTGAAGGGACTCTTGACAAAGCAGCCAGTTGATTGTGAAGTTCCTAAAAATTGCAAAAAAAAAAGGGGGGGGGAGGGCAGTCATGAGCTTAGCCAGTCAGTATAAACCCTATCAATTGCATTTTCTAATATCACCAAGTTGCTAGATCAGACCAAAGACTTGTCTGCTCCAGCACTTTGCTCCCACAGTGGCCAATCAGATGTCTATGGGAAGCCCAGAAGCAAGGGCAGTGCTGCTTTCTAGGCAGAATGGCTCCGCTGGTGCTTTTGCACCACGCCAATCTTCTCTGGTGCTCTTGCCACTGTGCCTGCCTCCCCTTCTCCCTCCCAGTTAAGTGGCAGCAACCCTGTTGCTGGGAAGCTAGGACTGCAGCTCCACCCTACTGGGTGACTTGCTTCTCCCCACAAGCAGGACATGAGCTCAATTGCACTTTTCTGCCCATGACCCTCAGCAACAGGTATGTAGAGCCATACTGCCTCTGATTCTAGAGGTGGCAGACAGCAGCTATGTTGGCCTTATCCTCCATATGATCTTCTAAACCCGTTAAAACTGTTCACCAAATTGCTGGCGTTCACCAAATCCTGTGGTAGTGAACTCCATTGCTTAGTGTGTTGTGTGAAAAAGCACTTCCTTCTGTTTGGAACAGCTGTCATTCAACTCCATTGGATTACCCCAGCTTCTAGTATCATGGGAGGAAGAAAAAACTCTGTCTAATTTCTCCAAGTGTCATGCAGAATTTACGCACCTCTATCATGTCCCCGTTCCCTTCCCTTGCTTTTTTTTTTTAAAGCTACAGAACTCCAAATGCTATAACCTTTCCAGTTGCTCCAGCCCATTTTGACTGCCTTTTTTCTGCACTTTTTAAAGCTTGACAATATCCCTTTAGAAGTGCAGCAACCAGAAAAGTATACAGTTTTCCAAATGTGGTTGCATTACAGTATCAGCAGCTTTATTTTCAAATGATTCCCAACACTGAATTTGTCTTTCACAACAGCTGCACATTGGCTGGCATTTTCATCAACCTGCCCTAAGATACTGAAAATCAAGTAATAACAAGTACTCCCCCCATCTCAGTGTGTAAAGCTCTGCTAGTGATCCTGGACAGCTGCCACTGGGTTAGAGCTGATAAGATTCTCAAACAGAAGCTATGCTCTCCTCCAGTGATTGTAATGTACAACTCCTTGCATTTTACAAAATATCACTTCACACTTACTTAGTAATGTTTAAACCCAATTTTACTTCAAGCACTTTCATTAAATATTCATTTTCTTTATGGGGAATAAAAGTCTGCAAAACAAACAGAAAGGAAATTGTGTGTTAGCACCACACTTTTGAGACAGACCGTTGCTACATCTGACAAACATTTGCAACCACGAGAGATAAACAATCTTTCAGTTAGCAGCATCACATTTTCTACTGGAATATTTTTTTAAAAAACAAAAAAACTTAGCAATGTTGAGAGTTTCAAAAGATGGGTTAATTCTTTACCAGTTCTATCCATTACCTTTTTCCACTAGAAAAAGAAAAAGCACAGCAGGAAGAGGAATTTTGAGATTATTATTATTTCCCTAGGCAACTAACATCCAAAAACAAACAAATGCTTTCATTATCCTGTACGATTAATTTTAAAAAATAAAAATAAAATCTTACCTTCACTACAAAATTCAAAGTCACTGTTATTGTGAATACCAAATAAAAGTAAATGACTTTCAGCATCCTTGAAAGAAGCGTCCCCTTTTTTGTATTCATCTAAAAAACAGACAATAAAGTATTAACTTTACAGAAGAAGAAGAGTTTGGATTTAATATCCCGCTTTATCACTACCCTAAGGAATCTCAAAGCGGCTACAACAAACACTCTGTGAGGTGAGTGAGGCTGAGAGACTTCAAAGAAGGCGACTAGCCCAAGGTCACCTAGCAGCTGCATGTGGAGGAGCGGGGAAGCGAACCCGGTTCACCAGATTACGAGTCTACTGCTCTTAACCACCACACCACACTAGCTCTTATAGAGGAGGGAGACAGGGAACATCAGGCCTGTGGGTCAAACGGAGCCCTCCAGGCCTCTCAGAACCCACTCAGGCCACGTCCACCCCCTACTTCCTAAACCATGGCCCCCGCCTGCCCTTCTCCACTCTCTCCTCAAGTGCTTCTCCCTGACTGGAATGTGTCCCTGATCTCGCTTGCCTGCACGGAGAGATGTGTTGTGTTACAGAACACTCTGCCCTTTTCATGGCTGGGATGCATCCTACTTAGCTTGCTCCGCCCACTTTTGCCTCAGACCCCCCCCCCCCACTTTGGGCCTTTCATGCCCCACATGCAGAGATGTCAGGAGTTAGAAGAAACAAGGGTTGTTCAGTAGTGCCAGGCCTAATGACCACAGCAACTCTTCTGAATGTCCCCGCCTTCCCACGGCTGCCTAAGTCTCCTTTCCTGGGTCTTTCCCAAGCCATCTGAGATTACGCCGGCATGCCTGCCTTTGCTCCTTTCACTTCATCCCTCTCCTGGTTCTGGGAGACCAAGGGGGAGGGGAGCTTGTTGCAGCCGGAGGTGGAAACATCCTGGCTTCTTCACCAGCCTGAAACACCTCCGCCTCTTGGCCTCTATCCTCTCTTGCTTCTGATTCTGGACTTCTCTCTGCCACAAGCTCTTCCTGCTCACTAAACCCTGTTACCTCTTCAGCCTCTGACACCTCCTCCTCCCAGTCTGCTCCCTCTTCTCCCTCTGACCACTCATCATTGTCCCACCACCAATCCCTGGGCTCTGGGCTTTTTTCCCTTGGGGGTTCCCCAGCTGGTTCCTCCCACCATTCCACTGTATCCAGCCTGTCCATGACAAAGAGACCATGGAAGGTTGTCCATGGTGGAACACAGACCTCAGGCTGAAAAAGATTCACTACCTCTGCTAGAGAGAGAGAGAAACAGCAGTACAGGCAGAGGTAAAACCACCAAATGATTTCCCAGTTATTACCTGGAGGTATTTTGCCAGCAGCACCGCTGCGACAAGGCTGAGGAGTGGAGACACTAACAGAGCTGGATTCTCAAACTGTAACATGTATCCCAGAAAGAGAGAAAACAGGTAGACCTTATACACTTCATGTACCTGCGGAAGGGAAAAGCAAAAAGGTATTGACCCTCAAAGCAACAGGCGATCACGGCTGCAAGAAACAACCATCCTCTATATTTAAACTTTTTCTGCCAGCCTTTTATCTGTGCCTGTTAGCAGAATGAACAGTTCACGGGTTTAGAAGGCAGGCAAAAAGAGAGGGGAAGAGCAGCAAGCTAGCAATTAAAATGGTATTAAAATTGGTAAGTTTCAAGTGCCGAAATACCTTCTCTGTCTGCGTGAAACCCACGGTGTCCAACAAGAAGAGAGACACAGCCTGGACAAACAGCAGATAGTGACTGTACTCCCACATCATCATGAAAGTGTAGGTTGAAGCACTCACCAACAGGTAGCAAAACCTCTGGGGGAATTGAAAGGGAAGACATCTTAATCACCATGTACTTATTTTCATACAAAGCAAGATTGGGAAAAATATACAGTACAGTATCAGTAACTGGCATTCCATCTTAATCCTGCATAACTCTTGAATGCATTTTTATTCTTAATATGATAGTAGCAAGAAGAAGAGGCCTTAACAGTTCTTGAAAATGAATGTTTTTTTGGTCCTTTACATTTTTCCTTAGGCAAAACCATCTCATTTTTTAAAGCAGAGTTGGGGCACCCTTTCCAGCCAAAAGGCTGCATTTGCCTCTGGGCAATTTCCCGTGGGCCACATAGCAGCGCGGGATTGGACCAGGGGAGTGGGCGGAGCAATTCATGCAAATTTAAACCTTCGTATGGTATGAACGCTCCTCTCTTATCCTCCGTCCACGGAAACAATAATGCATTATCTGGGTTTAAGGACACATGCCAGCCAGGCAAAAGTATTCAAGATGTGAAGGAATGCCAGTAGAAAGTGTGTTTATGGAGGGGGTGTGGCCTGGGGAGAGTTCAGAGGGCCAAACATAGAAGCCTGCAGGGCCACATTCAGCCCCTGGCCCTAAATGGTTTACTGGATCAAGATTCTCAAATCTGATCAGCCTATTTATACTATTATATTTTGACTGAAAACATCTTCATCTTACCTCAGCAGAAGGATTTATGTTGTTCTTTAAATAGCCAGTAAGAGCTGCTACTTGACAAGCAAAATATGGCAATGCCCAATTTTCTCTTGACGGGATAGAATAGTCTATTTTTGTGGTATCTGCCCTGGAAAACATACAGGGACGACCCATTAAAATATACAGGTTACTTTAGAACATAAATATAGGCTTGACTATTGCTCTTGACAGAAACAACGTAACAGCAATAAAGCCTTAAGCGATCGGCAGTTTTGGAAGGGAAGTTCTAAAAAATCCTCTGTGGTCAATGTAAATGTCCCTGCAAATCTGGAGAGGTAGAATCGATAACGGGGGTTCTTACGTATTGCTCCTTCTATTGTGATATGCATGATTTTTATTGACCCATTTCAAACGGAAATTCCCAGAGCGACTGGATGCATTTAATGCTATTTTACTCCTTTCTGATAAGAACACATCCATCTCTTCCAGGATGGTTCAATATTGTGCTGCTGCGTGTAAAACTCTCCAGAGACTAATTTTAGCAAATTGATAATTTTGTTCTCTGTGCCGGGCATTTTATAGTACGACACTTATGGTTCTCTATTTTGTTTTTATTGTAATGGTTCTCTATTTTGTTTTGTTTGGTATTCTTTTGTATATTCATTTGTATGACTTTTTTTGCTGAATATTAGTCACTGACCATAATAAAGAGCCTTGGAGTTTTTAGCGATTAGAACTTTTGGGGGACTGATCATTAATAGCCTTGCTATTTAATCCTAGATGTCATTTTTCACCCTAACCCAACCTGGTGCCCTCTAGATTACAACACATATTGCGTCCAGGCAGCATGTGCAATAGGCCTGAATGGAGCTGCAGGCCAAAAGACCTGGTTGGGAAAGACTGCCTTCTACAAACAGAAGAATACTCTAATGAAAGCAAGGACAATGAGCTTTTACAATAACATTTCGATTTCTAAATTTTAAACAGCAATGCTACAAAAGCAATGATCTATGCAATGGGTTCTTTCCCTCTCAGATGTATATATTTGATTTTATAAACAGCACAATTATAGCCACAAATTGGAGTATAAACTACATATACAAGAATTAAATACCTTGCCCTGTCATGAAACGGCATGAGGAAAGTGACACGCTCCATCAGGAATCCATAAGCCTATAACCTCTCCACAGAGAATTTCGTACGATGGGCTTCAAGACACTTTCCAGACATTTAAAGCCCAACATGCAAATGTAACCAACAAAAACCACAGGACAAAAAGTATGGTGTGTGTGCGTGTGTGTGTGAAAGGCCATAACCAATTCTTATTCACATGATCCATTTCCCGCTCTTATAATATTTCCAGTTAAAGAATGAACCTTTCCTGGTAGTGTTATACATCAGCAACTAGAAACTTTCATAAAAGTTCCCTTTGGAAATAGCGTAGAAGGGAAAAGGAAAAGAAAGAATTAGGAATACAGTTGCTTGTTCAGTTGAAGGCAGGGAAAGAACAGCAAATTATGGGGTGGGGTGGGTAGTAAAGATTTGCTTTACCTGTTAATAATGAACCAGACGACAGTCAGCATCCCTGCCAGCCAAGTCCCACTCATTAGCCAGCTGGTTACAAACAACGCAGTCACATAGATCCCCTGCAGTCCAAATACTATGCCAATGTAAAAATATACTGGCTCAATAACCTCCTGAAAATTAAAGACATAAATATTTTCAAACACACAATACTAGCAGCTGAGTTACAACAATAAAGCACAGTTTGAAATTCACAAATGGAAAGAGAAGACCATGAAGCTGATGGGCTGGAAGATCATAACCGGGGGTGGGGAGTAGCAGCAGCACCTTACTGTTGCCGCAAAACACTAACCCCTTTATAGAGCAAAGGCAAAGGCTATTTGCATGGGTCATTGAGAACCCTCATAGCAATAAACTGCAGCCATGCAGCTTTCAGCTTTTCAAAATATAAGATATGGACTTCCTTACACTCCTCAAGCTACTCTTAGGGGTGCTTCCATTAACTGAGACCCCACACCCAGGTCTCAACTAAGGGGCTGATTACACGCAGAGGGGGTTGCACTTTCTCTGGGCACACAGAGAACCCTCAGTGCACAGTGTAGCAGTCCTCCGACAGCTCAGCACATATAATGCTCTGGAGGAAAACAAGCTGCTTGTTTTTAGGGCAGAACACTTCTCAACTACTTATCCCCTAGGACTGTAAAGAAACAAGAGAAGGGCAAAGCATACTTCACTGCCAGATGCTTGGTATAAGAGGCTGGCGATCAATTCTGGATACAACGTCATCTGCCGCACGACATTCATGGTCTTCAGCGAGAGAGTCCTGTTGTCGTGGGTTAATTGATTAACGCCTGAGAATGAGATTTGGGTGGGAGGAAGGGATGCCAGCATTATTTATGCAATTTCTCAAGATCAACAAAAGGAAGGGTTCTGCCATGTTTGGTTTCTGCAACTTGAGCCCTGTTCAGGAGTCATCCCTAAGAATGGAACATCTACATGAGTTGAGGCCAGGCCAACTAGTCTCGCCCCCCAATGCCCTTGCATGCACTGGCCCCACCCTTCCCGCATTGAGTAGGAAGGTCCAAAGGGTATTCAGCTGAGCAGGCTCTGAAGGCTCCTTGCAATTGGGACCGCAGATGGCACAGTATTCCCAGTTATTGGGAGGCTTCTAAGCATGTTCAGTTGAATGCAGACCTTCCTGCCGAACAAGAGAGGATTGGAGGTGGATGGAATAGATGGAACACCATAGGCAGGACTGATGTGTGCCTGACAAATCCACTACTTGTGTTGCCATTCCTTAAATGCTTGAACAGGACTACTGCGGAGGCTACTTGCAAAGGCATAGGGCATCTCCATGGGGTGAAATATAGGAATAGCCTTTAGGATTTCAGGGATATTGTGCATTGTGAAAAGCTGCTAGATGCCATCTAATAACATAACAAGGAAGGTTAGACACATGTATTGGAGAGCATCTACACCCATTTGCTTGGGAGGCTAGTAACTCCCTTCCAGAACTAGTCCTGCTACAAAGCCTGCATTTGTCTGTTGATGAATTTGATAGGCAGCCTCTGGCTTTGCCACTGTGCAGTGAACACTGCAGCTCCTTGGACGAAACAGTGTGCAAGCTTCATTACGCCAGTCCTGAAATCTAGCTCTTTATTTACAATTCATTAGCAGCGCAGGCCCTGCTCTACTCTACAGCTAGCAGCACAATCCAGGGAAAAGAGCTTTTGATGGTGGAGGGAAGTTCTGTGGCTCACAGGAGAATCTCAGCTGTCTCCTGTAGGGGAACAGATCAGGTCCATAGTTCTCCTTTGCCTGACCACTGGGTTAGGGTTTCCAGACCACTAGGCCTAATAAGATTAGAAATACATTATCCCAGAGAACAAGGGATATAATACACAAGTGGAAGCTTTGATGAACCAACTTTGCATTGATAAGATGTGCAAACGGAGTTACATAAGCCTGTCCAACAGCTTTGTGTAGTCTGAAAGCTTACACGCTTTCTCTCCTCCATCCCAAGAAGCCACTCAGTACTATCTTTTCTGATTTTGTCTCACTTGCTATTTAGTAAAAGTATGTGTCTTACCTCTTTTAAAGGAGGGAGCTCTTAATAAGTCTTTGTAAAATGAGTAGTAAATGGCACCATCACCCTGAAATGTGATTTCTCGTTCAAGCTCCTAGAAAACAAACAAACAAACAAAAAAAACTAAAATCATATTCTCATTTGATATTCATTTGCCTGGATGACACAACCATGCAATGAGAAAGGATACATCTTTAATAAATCATGGGGGAAGTTTGACTGGGGTGTCATTTCCATTCATTAATAAACCTAACAGCAATAATGGGTGATATTCAACTAAGTCATACTCACAGCAAACTGAGTGCAGACAAGTCCAACAATTTCAATGGGTCTGCTCTATTGATGAATGTTGGATATCACCCAATAATAGTTATAAGATTTATTGAGCTATTTGTCAATGAACTTCCACGAGTGGCTCACTACAAAATGTTAACAAGGTTTAAAAGCCAACAGTAAAACACAGCAAAAGAACAAAAAACACCTCCTCCTTGCACAGAGGCTGTGAAAAATATTTCAATGGAAAAGACCTGGGGCAGCACAAAACTCCAGTTGCAGCTTCTGGCAATTGCAACAGCAGACTTGTTCACCACAATAATGGGAATTAATCTGGAGTATCTATGAGCTACAAAGAGCAGCTTTTATGTTCTTTCAGAATGACAGCCTAACTAGCTTGATACTGGTACTCCATCTGGTAGCAACCCTTTTCCAGTAGAGAAAGGTGTCTGTACCCACCTGTCCTAGTAAGCCAGATGCTTTATCACACTTCAAGTTCAGACCAGCCCAATAAAGGGTGCAGAGAAGGGGGGAAAGGGGACATGGCCTGGAGGAAGTTCTGAGGGCCAGACAGAAAGGCTGAGAGGGCCACATTCAACCCAAGGGGTAGAGGCTCCTCTCTTCTGAATAAGGTAAAGATAGAGTGTTTTCTGTATTGTTTGTAATTATGATTCTATTTCCTTACCGGCCTGCCAGAGAACCAGAATTTGCGCTCATGGTATGTCGAAAGGTACATGGCATACATCATTCCACTTATGACTGCTGCAAGACAGCCAAAGAAAAGCTTTGCGAAACGTGGAATGAAGACATCTGTAAAAGAATGTTAGGAACGTCACATGAAGCCACCAGAAAGGTCTAGGTCTTGAGCACAAAGAACAAAGCTTTCAAGGCCAAACCAATGGTCTGCCTAATCCCATATTCTTTTATCAGCCAGTTCCAGTGACCTGATCAAGAGTTTCCAACAAGACACAGAAGCTACAGGATGCTGTGTGGATAGTGCCATTATATACTTTAGTCATTATATAGTTCAATCTGGAATTTCCTGTTGCTGTTTTTCCTAGCTTCCTGAGGAGTGTGTCCTAGTCTAAGCCTTCCAGTGCCATGACCTTCCCCTCTTTGGGGGATGAGGACTTGGAGGAAGAATTGAAGGAAGAGCAGGGAACTGTTCACAGGGACGAGACACACTGGTTTCCTGTTCCCCAGAACCTCCAGCACAGAAGAAGTCCATTCTGCCAACACCTCTGTAGCCTGAGGAAGTCACGTCATCACCCTCCAACTCTGCAGACTCCAGTTTAGATGCTCCAGCGGAACCACCATTTCCACCACTCTGTAAGCTGCTGAAATGGGCAGAAGAACTTTAACCAGGAAAGCTTCTCTCACTGAAGACAGAGCTTGCCACCCAGACTGAACTGGGGCATTATTTAAGGGGAAACTGCAGTTCTCGGAGTTCTTTAGGGAAAAGCATAAACTGAATCCATTTCTAGCTACTGTACATTTCTCACGTAGATAGCCCATCAGCAGTACGGCTGTAGGCAAAGGAAGCGATGCACGAACGTGACTGTTTTTCAGAAGAGTAACTGTGAAACCAGCATGAAGCGCAGAGTCAACTGCTAAGACAGCCTAGCCTTTTGCTTGGCAGCTGTTCCACGGAGGCAAGTGGGCAGCCTGGGAGAGGAAGGGTAGATCACTCCATTCCTCATCCAACATCCCACTAGCTTTCCATACTAGCCACAGAGGGAGGGAACTCTCACCTACCACAGCCAGCACAGAAATTCAGCAGCCTGGCAGAGAAGAGACAAAATGGTCCACCCTTCCAGTAATTGACTGCAAGCCCAAATCTAGCAGTCAATTACTGGAAATCAAATATCATTTACTAGTTTAAGAGGTTAGATCATATGTGTTTTCCCTGCTGGTCTCAAAGAAGAGGGCTTCTCTCTTCCACAGCCAGCACAGAAATGCAGACTCCTAGTTTTGTAGTCGGCTAGTATTTTATTCTTTTACAGGCTAGAGAAACTTTTGCATGTTGATTTACAAGGCTGCACTATTACATAGTGTGCTGCAGCCACAAGTTTCCCCCCCTCAATGTAAAGATTTTCATGTGGTGCAACAGAAGAATTGCAAAGTGAATTTGCAACACAGAGAAAATCTTAACCCATATACATGATTTTACAATGAAAGAAGTAGAGCACCACGTTAAAAAAAAAGGGCACAACTTACATCTTGGAGATTTTTTTGACTTTTTCATTTCCTCATCGTTTTCTTCAGGAGCTTTTCCTTCAGCTTCTGTACTGTTCGGCTTCTTTCTCTGCTTCAGATCTGCAGCTCCTGACAACAGAGCCAGAAGTTATTATTGGGCTGCAATCCTACAAATACACATTCTCTCTCTTATCTGGGAACAAGTCCTATGAAACTCAGTGGGACTTCTTCCAAACAGGATTGTGTTTCATTAAGTTTTCTAATTAGGGACGCGGGTGGCGCTGTGGGTAAAAGCCTCAGCGCCTAGGGCTTGCCGATCGAAAGGTCGGCGGTTCGAATCCCCACGGCGGGGTGCGCTCCCGTTGCTCGGTCCAAGCGCCTGCCAACCTAGCAGTTCGAAAGCACCCCCGGGTGCAAGTAGATAAATAGGGACCGCTTACCAGCGGGAAGGTAAACGGCGTTCCGTGTGCTGCGCTGGCTTGCCAGATGCAGCTTTGTCATGCTGGCCACGTGACCCGGAAGTTTCTCCGGACAGCGCCGGCCCCGGCCTCTTGAGTGAGATGGGCGCACAACCCCAGAGTCTGTCAAGACTGGCCCGTACGGGCAGGGGTACCTTTACCTTTACATTTACCCATATATTAGCATAATGCTGAACAATGGCAAGCATCAGCCCAGGGTATTCAAAGGACAGCCTTCCTACATAAGCAACCAGCCCGCCCACCATCATAATCAGAGGCCCTGCTTTGCATCTTACTGACATCAACAGAAGGCTGGCTGGCATTTTAATAGTAATAATAAATTTTATTTATACCCCACCCTCCCCAGCCAGAGCTGGGCTTAGGGCGGCTAACACCAATAAAATCACAGTAAAAACCTAATAGGGGAAAAAGAGAGGGGGGAGAGAAAAAGGGGGGGAAACACAATTTAAAATACAGGTTAAAATGCAATTTAAAATGCAGCCTCATTTTAAAGTAGCTGATAAATCATAAGGGGAGGGAAACATGGGTCAGACCGAGTCCAAACCAAAGGCCAGGCGGAACAGCTCTGTCTTGCAGGCCCTGCAGAAAGATGTCAAGTCCTGCAGGGCCCTAGTCTCTTGTGACAGAGCATTCCACCACGTCGGGGCCAGTGCTGAAAAGGCCCTGGCCCTAGTTGAAACCAATATAACCTCCTTGAGGCTCAGGACCTCCAAAGTGATGTTATTTGTGTATCTTAAGGTCCTCCGCAGGGCATACCAGGAGGGGCGGTCCCGTAGGTACGTGGGTTCTAGGCCACATTTTCAGTTTTAGTGCCCATGTTGTGGAACTCCCTAACCTGGGAGGCCCAAGTGGACCCCTTTCCATGGCACTGAAGAGCACTGAGGAACAATCCCGTTAATAAACAAATTGCAAATTAATAAATAATAGGTATCAGAAGGCAAGTGCAGTGTGAGGGCACTTGCAGGCAGATGTTTTAATCCTTCTCCCACTGTGCCAATTCTCCCCTGCCAATTACTATCGCTATCTTGGCTGATTTTAACCTGTTTTTAATTCATCCAGATTCCAAGGCCAGAAATTAAGTACATGGGGAGGGAAGGGGGGGGGAATTGGCAGGAGAGTCTTCAGACACAAGACTTCTGCCCATTGACACTCCTACAAACTCCCACAAACACATTCCCAAGAAAAAGTATTTTAAAAGAACTTGGGTTTTTTGGGGGAAGGGACCCCTAAATTGGGGAGAATTCATAAAAAGGGCCAAACGAGGACTGAACATGCTCAGTAGGAACTGACTGTTGTTGGGGAGGGAGACTGAAAATCAAGGCAGGGGGGATGAAATGGCCAGAACCCTGAACAGCTCCCCACTACAGCATTTTCTTACAGGTTCTACTTGTGATCTCCTATGAGAAGGCCTCCGGCAAATACCTGTGTGTCAGAGGGAGACTCTTAGCTAAGTAGAGATCCTTATTCCAGACTGCATCTTTACTGGAACACTTTTAAACTATTTTTATATGTGAAGCTGTTTTTCAATTATTTTTACACTTTTCTGGTTTCACCATTGTATCTATTTTCTTTGTTTTATAATTGTGCCTTTTATTATTATAAACTGCCTTGGGACCTTGTGGTAAAGGGCAGGTAAGTAATCTATTTTTTAAAAAGGTACAGCTTTGAACACTACAGTTCTATACCACTGGTTATTTTACCGCACACAGGCAAGACTATGCAAATTAACGTTTTTTCACATAGTTGAGCTTCAAAACCTTTTTTATAACAGGAAGGTCTAAATAAAAAGCATTAGAACACCCACACTGTAACACAGAGGAAGACAGCTAAATGACGTACATGTTGATTTTACAGACTGCTGAACTGTGACCAAAACACACAGGCAAACTGCTTCTGTTTAGTTTCTTGCTGCTTTAAAAACAAGGAAAATATTGTTTTCATCCCCTGAATACCTTTTACCAAGGTGAAAGGGAAAGTTGAGCAAGGTTAAGTGCTAAAAATAGGTCTACGGATTTTCCATTCTGACACATAATTAGGATGTTTAGCATTTCAAAGGACCCCCATTATGGGGGCAGGGGAGGGGACTAGAAGCTATTAACCACAAGCTACAATACCTAAATGGAATCTCCACATCTCCAGGGGTGAAACACTTCTGAATACCAGATCCTTGGAAAAAACAAGGTCTTCCAAGAAGCACCTGGCTATTCATTGCTGCAACCAGGATACAAGGCCCCATCTGCACTATACATTTAAAGCAGTATCATACTAATTTAAACTATCGTGGCTTCCCCCAAAGAATCCTGGGAAATGTAATTTGTTAAGGGTGCTGAGAGTTCTTAGGAGATCCCTATTCCCACCACAGAACTAAGATTCCCAAAGTGGTTTAACAATCAACCCCAGGGAACTCTGGGAATAGTTAGCTCTCTAAGGGGAACAATAGTTTCTATAGTTTCTCAGCACCCTTTAAAAAAAACCACTACAGTTCCCAGGATTCTTTGGGTGAAGCCTTGACTGTTTAAAGCAGTATGGTACTGCTTTACATGTATGGATGGGGCCACAAGACTCTGTGGGTCTTGGCCAAATTCAGCAGGACTCTTCATGCGTTCTTATGAAACAACTTTGTCAGGCTCACGAAGCCCAATGAATGTTACAAACCTCTTTCCACAGAGAAGATAAAAATCTCACTCATCTGCAGTCACTAAGAACAATCTAGATAATCTCAGTCAGCATTGTAGTCCCTTATCTGGAATTTTTGAGATTTTCAGAGATGCAAATGACATTCTGAATTCTGAGCTGGTCTGTCCAGATGTTTAGGATATCTAAAATACTATATACTGATCTTTGAAGGTAAACACATTCACAATACCAAACAAACCTGATATGAGCAGCACTATGTTGTGCAACAAAGCCAAGAATGTTATGATGTGGTAAGGTCATATCTAAAGCAAAATGTTAAGTTTCCTTTCAAAAATATGTATCTGTAAAGGAGATAAGGAGATTGTCCAAGGGTGCAAAAACAGCAGTTGCTTAAGGTCACTGTCCGGCCCCACTTCTCTTAATCTTTTTCCAGGTTGGGGAGCGAGCAGAGTGGGTGAGTAACAGAAATGGGAGGTGGAAGAGGGCAGGTGGTTTATGACTGCAGGTGTGTATGATGGTGGATGCAGACTGGGGAACAGGGCACATTAAACATATTGCAAAATGAGATACAAGCAATATGTCAATGAAAAATACACCAGTTTGCAATGACGGCAATAATAAATAAAAGTTTCTCTTTGTGCCAATTGCTCAACTACCTTAAAACAAGCATGATATAACCAAGCCAGTGCTTCAAGGATAACAGTGTTAGGGTAACAGGCCACCACTAGTCTTTTTTCTTTAATGCACGCTCATTTGGAGGATGCTTGCAAAGTGCATGCATAGACTTTAACTGTTCAGGTAGGTTTAGCTTATTAGCCAAAAGTTAACATTTGACTGAGCAGATGTACTGCACCTGAGTTTTTTATACTGCAAAGATCACTGTTGCATTTGAGCCACATGGAAAACTCTCATCATCTATACGTATGTTGAACCTGTCACCCAGAAGTATGTTCCACAAAATTATTATAACTTTAAGACAGCATGCTTCAAAGAATGAAAAAAACAACTTAATATTATGTTTCGGTCATGTAGCTTAGACCAAATTCTGTTTATCTAATTGAAGGAAAGGGGAAAGAAAGATAACAGTAAGCAAAATACAGTGGTACCTTGGTCTATGAACAGCCCTGTTCACGAACTACAGTGGTACCTCAGGTTAAGTATTTAATTCGTTCTGGAGGTCTGTTCTTAACCTGAAACTGTTCTTAACCTGAAGCACCACTTTAGCTAGTGGGGCCTCCTGCTGCCGCTGCGCCCCTGGAGCACGATTTCTATTCTCATCCTGAAGCAAAGTTCTTAACCCGAGGTACTATTTCTGGGTTAGTGGAGTCTGTAGCCTGAAGCGTATGTAACCTGAAGCATATGTAACCTGAGGTACCACTGTATTCGGAAAACAAACTCTGCAAAACCGGAAGAAGGTGTTCCGGTTAGCGAGCTTTGCCTCAGAAGCCGAACGGTGGAAGGGCACTGGCAGCAGGAGGCCTCAGTAGGGAAAGCACACCTCGGTTTAAGAATGTTTTGGTTTAAGAATGGACTTCCGGAACGGATTAAGTTCGTGAACCAAGGTAAAGGTAACGGTAAAGGGACCCCTGACTGTTAGGTCCAGTCGCGGACGACTCTGGGGTTGTAGTGCTCATCTCGTTTTACTGGCTGAGGGAGCTGGCGTACAGCTTCCGGGTCATGTGGCCAGCATGACTAAGCTGCTTCTGGCAAACCAGAGCAGCACACGGAAACGCTGTTTACCTTCCCCCCACTTATCTACTTGCACTTTGATGTGCTTTCGAACTGCTAGGTTGGCAGGAGCAGAGACCAAGCAACGGGTACCATTGTATAAAAATCTGGTGGTGTGTTAAATGAAAGTTTCTGTTTTTACATTAGTTTATAGAATTGTCCTTATAGATATGAGTGTGGTTAAATATTGTGAGATTATTTGGGGCACATATTTTGAGGTAGGGATGTCACATGATACTTAAGACATACACAAGCACTTTAGTAACTCCCAGGCTGGGGTACTACAATGCACTCTACATTGATCTGTCATTGAAAACTGTTCAGAAACTTCAGTTAATTCAAAATGTGGTGTCCCATTCATTATTAGCCACTGAGAGCACGGTACAACCATGCTAGGAGATCTGGCACTGGCTTCCAATTGGCTTCCTGACACAATGCAAAGCACTAAAGCACCAAATTCAACCTTTAAACCAGGGGAACCGATTTGAGTCCGAGGCCCACATTCCCCTCTGGGTGTAAATTTTACCTTTGTAAGGTAGGGTAGTTTCCACATATGCTCACAACCCCTCTCTATCCTCCACACAGGCAAGCAAGAAGCATTATCAGAGTTCAAGGACACATCCCAACCTGGCAAAAACTCTTTAAGGAAGGTGGCAAAGCGGGGCTGGTTAACAGTGTGGCCCGGGTGAGTGTGCAGCCTGCAGGGAGTCCTGAGGGCCAGGCATGAAGGGTCCCTGGCCATTTCGGTCCCAGGCCAGAGATTTTCTAACCCAGCTTTAAACCTAACTCAAAACAGCCTTGGTCCAAGGGGGTGCTGGGAGAGCTCAGAGTCCTATCTTTGCCAGAAGCTAAAGAGCAGGACTTCTCTTTCATCAATAGATCTGGCAGGCCATCTTGCTTCTGTTTCACAAAGTTGGCGCAACAATATTTTTGTTGCAACAACCGCTGGAGTTGGAAAGGCAAGATCTTGCTGAGCTGACATATGTCTTTCTTTCTTTCTTTCTTTCTTTCTTTCTTTCTTTCTTTCTTTCTTTCTTTCAAACAAGAACCAGATAGAGGGCTGTTAATATATTTTTGTTCCACTCCTTCAAATGTCTATACCTGCCAACTTTGGTACAAGATATGTTGTTTATTTGTGCATTTAATACAATCTTGCTTAAACCTTGTTTCAACGGAAGCCACCCTGAGGGTCCCATCAAGTCATACCAGCGGTTTAGACTTTTCAAAACTTTAAAAAGGCACGGAGGATGGAAGCAAATGAGTATGAAAGCCCATTAAAACAAACATGGGTTGTACCTCCTCACACAGAAAGCTCTTCCGTGTAGGAAGACGCACAAGAACCCCATATAACGCAGAGAGCATCAAAACCATCACACACCCCTGTTGGGCGCCTGCAGATTTCGCTTTCCCCCCAAGTGCTTCCTGTCCAGAGAACTCCTTAACAGGCAAAGCACATTCCTTGAAAAAACCAACCGCTTACTTTTGTCACCTGCGTTTCGAAAAGCCTGGTTTCACCTGTGTCACAATTGTTTGCAGAAACTGAGAAGCCAAAAGAGAGAGGGAGGGGGGGAAATCCATATACACACTCACTTGTACAGGGACGAAGGGGAGCTAAATGCCCACCTGGTCGTCCTCGCCTTCCTAACTCCCTCCCCACGACTCCTTTGGCTTCCCACATTCCTTCTTGCATTTCAGTGAGCCCGACACACACACACGCCCCACATCCACGCCCCTCCTAATCTCAACCCGCAGCGCCCTCCTCCAGCCCGGCCGCGGAGCCCCGCAGCCCCAGGGCGAGAGGGGTGGGTGGGGGGCCTGGGAAGGAGAAAGGGAAGCGCGCGGCACGTCCCAAGCGCCCACCTTCCTTCTCCATCTCCAGCCGCCGCCGCGAACGAGCCCCCGGAGGTGTGAAGCCGGCCTCTCCGGAGCTCAGGGGCCGGCCGGGGTCTCCCGTTCCTTCTTTCCCCCGCGCCCGGCCGCACTCGAGCCCCACACGCCCCGCTCGGGCTGCAGAAGAGGCGGCCTCTCGCTTCCCGTCAGCGTCCCTCTCGCCCAGCCAGCATCTCTCTCTTTTCCTCCTTCAAGGCGGAAGCGGAACGTCCTGCTCGGGGATCGAGGGAGCAGGAGGCGCGTATTTCGGGCGCGTACCGAGGCAGAGACGCGTCTCCCGCGCACGACTTCCGCCCTGGTGCCAGCCTCGGGTGCAAAGCGCGTAACAAAGGCTTCCCAGCCTCTCTTTTGCTCTGTATTGCTTATGATGATAATGCAGGTTCATCCGCACGCACAATTGCAGGCTAGCAAAAGAATTCTCCACTGTGTAGGATGAGATTTGTTCCTGTCTCCTGTTACTACAATTTAAGTCTCAGGACTAAACCTATGCTCACATCATTATTATTTTTAAGAAACACATTTGCATTTAGTATTTCACATTCCTAACCTCCACCTAAGACAGTTCATCCAAGTCGCCCCATTTTACAACAAGCCCCATTTTACAACAAGATTAGGCTATAAAAGTTGTTGATTGGCTCAGGATCACTCAACAAGCTTCAATAGTGAGCAGGGATTCAAACTCTGCTATTGTAGTTCCAACTTACAGGGCTCTTTGACTATACAGTGGTACCTCATGTTACATACGCTTCAGGTTACAGACTCCGCTAACCCAGAAATAGTGCTTCATGTGAAGAACTTTGCTTCAGGTTGAGAACAGAAATCGTGTTCCGGCGGCGCAGCAGCAGCAGGAGGCCCCATTAGCTAAAGTAGTGCTTTAGGTTAAGAACAGTTTCAGGTTAAGTACGGACCTCCGGAACAAATTAAGTACTTAACCTGAGGTACCACTGTACAGTATATGACACTCTTTCTGAACTGCCTAGTTAGTCTAAAAAGAGAAGTTGTCTGTCTAGGACTAGGTTCAAAAGACGGCAACCCAAATGATCAAGGGGCTGGTGCAACTCTCCTCTGAGGAAAAGTTGCAACAGTTGATGCTTTTCAGTTTAGGGGGAAAGTGGCAGTGTATAAGATACTATGCAAGGTTTGGAGAAAGTTCATAGAAGTTTCTCTCATAATTTAATCTATGTATTCCACTTTTCTAACAACATTGAGTTTGCATCAGCTCCCATTAACCACAGCAATACAATTGCTAACACATTTGTAAAGCTAAGCAGGGTCTGGTATGGTTTCAATTTGGGTGGGGAACTATGTGTTGAGATTCCCACATATTTTGCTGTGTTAATGCTGGTGTTTATGCTTTTAAAGTTATTGTACACTGCCTGCAGATTTGATGTGAAAAGCAGCACAGAACTGTTATAGTAAATAATTGCATACAATTTACCTCTCAATGCTAATGTATACAGATCACATACCCTCCATTTAAAGGCCAACTATGTTAATCTTTGGCACTGCAGCAGCTGAAGCAAAAGCAAAAAGGAGTGCTTTGGCACCTTAAAAACTAACAAATGTACCATGGCATAAAAGCCCACTTTGTAAGATGCATGAGGAGGGGGAAATTATTAAAAAGGGAGGCCAGAAGGCTTAGCAATGCAAAGGAGCTATTACTTAGCAGACAAGAGCCAGGAAAGGGGCTAAAAGATTCTATTGAAGTTGGTGTGCGACCCACTCTCCCAACAGGTAATGAATGAATTGGCAAAGAGCGATCATTAGTGTACATGAATGCCTAACAAGGGACAATAACCTTCTATGGTGAGCTAGTCACTCCCAGTCTCTATTCGAAGCATCTTTGATAGTGTCAGATTTGCATATGAATTCCATTGCTCAGCAGTCTCACTCAGTAGAGTACTGCTCAGAAAACAATGGTGAATCATTTCAGTCTCTTTGGGCATTCAGTGGCAGGCTTGAAAGTTGCCATACTTCAGCAGCAAAATGTTTCAAAGGGAGACCCTAGCTTGAAGCCATCGAATCAGAATTCATATGCAGATTTGGCACTATCTGACTTGGAATAGAGAAGGGGAGTGCTAGCTCACCACAAAGCAACTGCTGCTAGTTAGGTCTTCATTTGTGCTTTGTATCTTGCTTTGCCAGTCTGGAGCGGGTCACCCCCACTGATGGATTCCTTTACCCGTTTTTTTCACCCAATCTTGCTTCTGTTTGGCTCTGTACAGACATTTCCCCCTTGCTCTGTTTGTCTGCTGCACATCTGAAAAAGTGGACTCTGGCCCACAAACGCTTCTGCCATTATCAGTGTCTTAATCTTCAGGACTCCTTGTCACTTTACTTTATTTTTCTTTCAGACAAATTTAAAGCACATTCCCCCACCCTCCAAAGAATCATGGGAACAGTATCTTACCCCACACAGAGCTACAGTCCCCAACACTCTTAACAAGATAGTTCCCAGGATTTTTTGGGTGGGGGATCTGCTTCTAGTGTGCTTTCAATGTATGGCGTGTATGCAGCCACACAACTTACACTGAGTCAGACCATTAGTCCCTCTAGCTCACGGTTTCCCAAACCTGGGTTTCCAGCTCGTCTTGGACTACAACCAGTGGTCAGGGATGCTGGGAACAGTAGTCCAAAAATAGTTGGAGACCCAAGTTTGGGAAACCCTGCTCTAGCTCAGTATTAACAGTGACTCCCAAGAGTTTTAGGTAGGGTCCTCTCCCAGACCTACCTGGAGATGCTGGGGGTTGAATTGAGATGTTCTGCATGCAAAGCCAATGCTCTAACACTGAGCCAAGACCCACCCTTCTTGCTTTTTGGAAAGAAAGCTGACTCTGCATGCTTCAGAATGCACAATATAAAGGTACCCCTGTCCGTACAGGCCAGTCTTGCCAGACTCTAGGGTTGTGCGCTCATCTCACTCTATAGGCCGGGAGCCAGTGCTGTCCGCAGACACTTCCGGGTCACGTGGCCAGCGTGACAAGCTGCATCTGGCGAGCCAGCGCAGCACACGGAACGCCGTTTACCTTCCCGCTGGTAAGCGGTCCCTATTTATCTACTTGCACCCGGGGGTGCTTTCGAACTGCTAGGTTGGCAGGCGCTGGGACCGAACGACGGGAGCGCACCCCGCCGCGGGGATTCGAACTGCCGACCATGCGATCGGCAAGTCCTAGGCGCTGAGGTTTTACCCACAGCGCCACCCGCGTCCCTAATGCACAATATAAGCATTTGTAAATGTAGTGTTTATAATTCTTATTACAATGCCTTTCCATTGAAGCAGATTTCTTAATTAGTTCATATCAGGGGAACCACCCCATGTAATTATTGTAGCTAACCCATTGCTTCCGTATCTATGAAGCCAAGTATTTATTGCTGGTGAACAAAGGGCTTTCCCTTTATTTATTTTTTTAACTTGTTATCCCATATTCTCTCTAAGGAGATCAGAATAGCATGCAAGACCCTTCCTCCTGCCTCCAATTTTATCCAGGCTGACAACAACTCTGTGAGGTAGGCTATCAGATACCTGAAAGGCTGTCACATGGAAGATGGAGCAAGCTTGTTTTCTCCTGCTCCGGAGGGCAGGACCCGAACCAATGGATCCAAATTACAAGAAAGGGGATTCAGACTAAACAGAGTAAGGAGAACTTTCTGACAGTAAGAACTGTTTGACAGTGGAACCAACTCCCTTGGAAAGTGGTGGACTCTTATTCATTGGAGGTTGGGTGACCATCTGTCAGGGATGCTTTGGCTGTGATTCCTGTATTGAACAGGACCCTCGAGGTACCTTCCAACTCTACAATTCTCTGATGCTCTGGAAGAATGATTGACGAAAGATGATCAGGTAACAGGATCAGGAGAGTATTGTTGCTCTTGAGTAACTCACCTGGTTAGAGCATGGTGCTGCTGATAATGCCAAGGTCACAGGCTTGATCCCCATACAGGACAGCTGCATATTCCTGCATTGCAGGGGGTGAGACTAGATGATCCTCAACGGTCCCTTCCAACTCTGATTTTTTGATTCTGCTTTTGGGCTTCCCATAAGCATCTGGATGCTGGACTGAGATGGGTCTTTTGTTAGAGATCCACCAGGATTCTTCTTAAACTTCATGGCTGAGCAGGGCTTATGAACCATTTTCTCACCCTCCCCGCCCAGTCCAAAACCCCACATATGCCCAAAGCACAAATCCTATTGTGATGATGTTGGGGAAGAGTTCCTGTTTGTCCTGCGTTGGTAACACTGCTATCATTAATATGGGGCATACCAATGCAAACACATCAACAGAGAAAACACACTTCTTTGCTGCCTTGTGATCTTGGGTATATCCAAGGAAGGGCATTTAAACCTTTCTGAGAATCTTGGCCCTCCCCTTCTTAAATCTGAAATAAATTATCCTCAGGAAGATGTTGCTGCAGTAACTGTTTATGGCATTTCAGTTCATGTATAACTTTGTTTAGTCTCCTATTTAAATGAGAGAAAGTAACATTTTGGGAGGCACAGGGCTCTAAGTGCTTCCACATGATTCAGGCTACAATCCCATTCACACTTACCAGGGGGTAAAACCAAGTGAAGCTGGTGCAGTTTTGCCTTGGAGTAAATGGGAAGAGCAACCGCTTTGCATGTGGAAGGTTCCAGGTCCAATTCGCAGCATCACCAGGTGCGGCTGGAAAGGACTCCTGCCTGAAAGCCTGGAAAGCTGCTGCCAGTCAGTGTGACAATATTGAGCTAAATAGACCAATAGTCTGACTCAGTAGAAAGCAGCTTCCTATGTTTCAAATATCTACATACTTAAACAAACTACATTGTCCAAACTTGATGTCAGGGCCGCCTCAGGTTCCAGCTCACAAGAGACCAACGCCAAGTCCACTTTATTTACAAAAGTCTTTATTGAAGTACATTGTTTGTTCCACAGCCGAGGCGCGCAGCCCCACGTCTGTTACGCTTAGACCGCTGAAGTCCCCTCTGAATCAGTCCCGCCTCCACACCAGTTTAAGAGGCTTCTGCTGGTCCACCTCTTCCTGTCCTTCCTTTTCCGCAGGGTCTTTCTGCCCCCCTGGGTTCCTTCCCTCCTGCTTTCCCCTGATGCTGAGTCCCCAGACGCCTGTTCCCCCCTCCTCCGTGCTTTGGGACCAGGCTCCTCCTCCGGGCTCTCCGCATTTCCGCGCGCCTCCACATTTGAACTTGGCGCGCGTTCGCTACCCCTGACCTTCCCTTTGACAGTTACACTACTCTC